AAAAAACAATGGTTGTCCAAAATGTAAAGTATACACTTGAGTTTTCCCTACTGTTAGGGCATTTCTACCTTAGGGCACAAAAGAGTGGGGACTTACAGGATAAGAACAATTTTCTAGAATTTTCAACAGTTTTTTGTCACTTCCTATACAGGGCTCCAGACTGCAAACAAATGGTCGCATTTTGTGACCGTTTTTTCTGCCAGTGCGACTAAATTTTGTGAGCAATCACACTGGTGCGACCACTACGTTGCCCCACCTCACATAAGCGCTGCTATTTCTGTTGCATATAAGAAACATCAAACAGCAAGCTAAACAAAAGCTAGTGAAACGGCGCTACTCGTTTGAGCTGTGCAGTGCAGACCGTTTATCAGCTCGGATCAGCGCAGAGCAAACAAACTTCTCCGAGATCAGAACAGGTTTCCTCAGGAAGCAGTGTTGATTTCGCGACACTGTTACTGCACAGTGTGCGAGATCCAGTGAGAAGCACTTGAATTTGCTGCAGAATGAATAAAGGTTGCTGTGAGCTCTAGTGAGAAGCATTCAAATTCTGCACAGAAATCTGTTATAAACAGGTCAAACAGCGCTGACATATAACCAGAAGTAGTAACGCTAACTATAACCATGGTGTTGTGGAAGAAAGAGTTAATTTTCATTACATTATGCATTTCAGGGTTTGTACAACCTTTTGAGAGAGAAATTCAAGCACTTTTAAGTATTTCACACAACTATTTACAGCACTTTAAAACTCTAAAAAGCATACAATTAAAATGTTATTTTTAAAGGGATGACCAAAATATACTTTGTGGTAAACAAACACTTTTGTAAAATTAAAAAAGGGGCATCAAATTACCACTATAACCAGTAGATGGCAGCAGATGAACACTTATAGGCTTATTAGTCATTCATTTCTACTTTTTACTTTATATTTTAAAATTATAAAATCACTATTATAAAATTTTAAATCATCAAGAAATCAAATTTTGTAAAAGTTTAGCTCTTTTTTGTGTATGAAGTAAGAAAAGTCACAAAGTGCCTTAAAAAAAAAAACTTCTCTGACTGAATCACACATAAAGCAAGAGAGCTCCTTTTATAATCACTGAAGTTGTTGGTCAGTTCCGTATACTATATAATACTACAGAAGAATAATGGTACATTTAATAAGAGTAGAATATGTTAATTTTCTATATAAAACTTACATTTTGCACGTTACTGTTGTTAATAAAAGTACATTTTGTGCTTCCCAACTCAAGCTCAGTGCTTTACTGTCAAATGTGCATTAGCAAGAAATAAATGTATAATATTACTGGTAACTACACTTATTAATGCAAAACTATAATAATTTTATGATTTAATTATCGTTTTTTAATTGTTTTTAATACCCCCCATCAGGGCTCCAGACTAACATTTGAGAGCAGTGGCACCAGCGCCACGAAGTTCTACAGATGGTGGCGCCAGGAGCAGATTTGGTAGCGCTGGGGGTGGTGTGCGGGAGTATTAAAATATAGATCATTTAATCATAAAATTACTATTGTTTTGCATTAATAAGGGCAGTTACTAATAATATTACATGTTCATATCTGTTTATTTTTCTTTAGTTTATTGTTTATACAGATTTGACCGTAAAGCACTAAGCTAGAGTTAAGATGCATACAAAATGTACTTTTATTAACAACGGTAACAGGTGCAAAATATTATTTTTATATAGAAAATTTATATATTCCACTTTTATTAAATGTACCATTATTCTTCTAGTATATGGAACTGACCAACTTCAGTTATTATCTGTGATTTAGTAGCAAATTGAAGAAAAGTTTGCTTTTCAAGGCACTTTGTGACTTTTCTTACTTCATACACAAAAAAGTGTAAAAATCTGACAAAATCTGATTTCTTGATGATTTGATATTTTATAATAGTGATTTTATCATTTCAAAATATAGAGAAAAAGTAGAAATGAATGACTACTAAGACAATAAATGCTCCTCTGCTGCTGTCTACTGGTTATAATTGTGATTTGATGTATTTTTATATCATAAGTGTTTGTTTACCACAAAGTATATTTTGTTCATCCCATTAAAAATAACATTCAAACTGGATCATTTTAGAGCTTTAAAGTGTTGGAAATAGTTGTGTTAAATGCTTGAAAGTCATTGAAAAGTGCTTGAATTTCTCTCTCAAAAGGTTGTACAAACCCTGAAATGAATGATGTAATGCATTTGACTATTTCTACCACAACAACATGGTCAGATTGGTCACAGTTAGCGTTACCGGTTCTGGTTTCCTGACGTATGTCAGCGCTGTTTATAACAGAGAATTCTGTGCAGAATTTGAATGATTCTCACTAGATCTCGCAGCAACCTTATCATTGTGCGGCGAATTCAAATGCTTCTCACTGGATCTTGCAGCACTGTTGCATCTGTGCAGTAACAGTGTCGCGAAATCAACTTTGGCTCCCGAGTAAAGCTGTTCTGAGCTCGGACAAGTTTGTTTGCGTTGCGGCCCGAGCTGATAAACGGTCCGTGCTGCGCAGCTCAAACGAGTAGCGCGGTTTAGTTTCATTTGCTGTTTCTCAAATGCAACAGAAATGGCAGCGCTTATGAGTTGGATAACGCGGTGGTCGCGCCGGTGCGACTAATTTTTGTGAGTGGTCGCACTGACATAAAAAATGGTCGCAGTCTGGAGCCCTGTGCTGAAGTGAAGTGGAGCGCGCGTGCGAAACCTCTCCCGTTCTCAGTCGTTCTGCGACTGAATAAATGCACTTCTTGTCAAGAGAAAAAGTGACAGAAGCAGAAGTTGTGAGTGGGGTGGCCAGCCCTAGCCCCGCCCCTGTTTTAATTGCGTTAAATATTTTTAACGTGTTAAACTGAAAAAATTTATCGCCTGCGTTAACGCGCTAATTTTATATACATATATATATATATACTAGGAAATCTAAAACAAATTTCTAAAAAGAGGTTGAATTTTGATAGGGTCTCAAAATGGGAGTCCAACGGGAGGCAAAACACTTTGTCTTCTTTGAATTTGCTTTATGACAAGCAATGAGTCCAATTACGTAAACAACATACAAGCAAACTTGACGAAATTTAAGCCTCCAGTAAAACCTGATTTGTACATTACGTTAAGGAGGCAAACAGTACATAACCAAATATTTTCTTTAGGCCTACATTCAAGAGCAGTAGGTTAAAACATTATGCAAACAAGGAAACTTCAGACTCCGCATTGCTAGTGCAAACACTCGGATCAAACAAACGGATCCTCACATTCACCCATGTCACATTACATGAATTATCATTATAACCAAATAATAGACTCGCTCATGTTTTTATCAGTTTCATTACTGAAACACATAATGTGGTTGACATTTTGGACTGATTCACATTCCATCCTCTTTTAAATGCAGGATAAATTTTATTCTAAATTCTTGACATATGTATGTCTACTGTACATTTTTGTCAATTTCAAATAATTTTAATGCCGTTTTTAAAGTGTAATTTTTCAAATTTGTTTATTTTTATTATTTTATGAATTTGATTGTTGTGATGCCATGAAAAAAAGTCACAAGTTTACAGTTAAAGATAGTAAGGTAGTACATACGTATGCATGTTCAAAAGTTTGGGTCAGTAAGATTTTTTTTTATGTTTCTTATCCTCAACAAGTTTGTATGTATTTGATTAAAAATACAATAAAAACAGTAATATTGTGACCCCAATACCCCCCAACACATCAACAACAAAAGTCAGATATGAATGGGAGCCATATAAAATAAGTAATTTGTGAAAAGCTTGGAAAAGGTGATATGGTTCACAAAGTTTGTGTCCTGCTTCTATTTGCATATACAAAACTGTTTTATGTCAAATATTTATAAACATTTTTGTGGGGGTAAGAGACAAATACTGGCAGTAAAAGTATGTGTTTGTGATCGTTGTCTTCAGCGAAAAGCCCCACCTCACTCAGCCACTCCTATCTGCTTAAACACATTAGCTTATTATGACAATCAGATAATTATGCAGCGAGTAGAGCACTTCACTTTGGTTTTTATTTGGATAGAATAGTTTGCCTACTTCTCTAGTGTGTGCTTAGCCATTATGGAGTATCACTGGCCTGACTATGTGTATATGAACATCTGGAACGGAGACAAAAATTTCTTCACAATGTCCTAATGATGAAAGAATGCAGGAATGTGTTCCCAGAACACTGTCAAGGTGTAACGTTTTGACCTTTTGTGACCTAGGCGATGTTTAAATGCTTCATTCAGGCTGTCATTGCTCAGGGAATGTACTGAGAACTGAATTAAGGTTCAAAGAGATCAAGCTTCATTTTTACCTGCATGAGCTCCTGTTTCTCCTTCTCCCCAGAGCTGATGGCATCTTTAATGGTCTTCACCTCCTTCAGGATGGCCTGGGCTTCATGTAGTTTGTAGCCATGCGAGGCACTGGACACTTTGTAATCGATTCTGATGAAAGTCAAAGTAAAACAAAAAAGTCAATTTGCAATAATTGTGAATCAACCGAATTATTCTACTCGAACCCGCAACCTTTGGGTTACGAGTCCGACTCTCTAACCATTAGGCCATGACTTCCCCCTTATATATATAAGCCTATAATGAATCTGTACACTAGATGAGGTAAAATAAACCATGTATGAGTCCACATTCTATTGATTTGTGCTCATGGTGGTGGAGCATCCATGAGGCACATTTCCCCAAATTTGCTAAATTAGCTAAGAAATACCTATGTGTTCCAACAACTAGCTCCCCATCTGAGAGGGTTTTTAGTGCCAGTGGGAACATAGTTTCATGCCACAGAGCTTCTCTTAAACCAGAGACAGTTGACAGACTTGTGCTCTTAGCTAAAAACTTTTTAATTTTTAATTTAAAAAAAAAGTTTAATTATTTCCCCTAGTTGCACTGTGTAAATTGTGAATTGCATGCACTAAAAAAGTTGACAGAATACACTTTCAGTACTTTTTTTGCACTACTTGTTGATAATTTTTGAAAAAGCAGTAAGTGATCACTTGGTCTAGATTTTTTTTAACTGCTTACATTTGCACTAAACATTTTGTATTTACTTTGTAAAAGTAGCTGTTCTACCTAAATAGTTTTTGTTGTTTTTTTAATGGGGGCAAAATAAAATCATGTTTTTTTTATTATTTAAAAGCAAATGCAAACATATCGAGATATATATTGAATATCGTGAAAATTTTGACAATATCGAGATATCATTTTTTTTATATATATCGCCCAGCCCTAACTGGGGTACAGCGGTACTTTACAGGGGACTCGTGCCCCAGTGAAAAGGATCTAGTGACGCCCCTGCGCTTTACTCTGAAACACCCAATGCATATGTTCAGCCTTTGCGATTTGATGATCACTAAGCCATAATCGTGATTCCAGGTTTATTTTGATTATTTGCTAAGCCCTAGAATCGAAACAAACCATATGAAGGAACCAATTCACAAAAACAAGTCAAACTCCTAACATACTTACTGCTGAAATCGGCTGTCAGTCACATGCATGACTATCAAAGTATCTCTGGTACTGTCCCAAAATGCTTCCCCATATCTGAAGCCAACTGATACCCAGAGCAATTAGTTACGGCTACTACTAAACCACCTTAGCAGTAATATGAGCCATCAAGAACATAAAAAGAATATAAGGATTCACTCTGTGCAAAAGTTTGTCTTTGAGATGTTTGCCTATCCCGCAGGCTGGGTGCCCATTAGGGCAGCACGATTAATCGAATGCGATTGTCATGCGCATTTTGTTAAAAAAGCCGGTTCTGTAATCAGCAGGAAATCATCATCACGTGCTTTCAGATGGAGCAGAATTTACTACACATAGCCGTAGTTCACTGACAAGTTACGCAAAAAAAAAAATCGCAGACGATTTTATTGCGCAATTCTGAAATCGAAGATATCGTTCGTCATAATGACAGCTGTTTGCATAGCTTCTCAGTGCACTACGGCTGTGAAGTAAATGCTGCTCCATCTGAAAGCATGTGAAAATACCACATTTAATAACATATTTTTACTCCAAACTCACTTCATAACGTCAGTCGAGTGTTTGAAATAAATCCTTCGGTGAGATGATGTGGCTTCTTACACAGAATAAGGCACGCAACATATTTCATAGTATTTAAGCAGTGAGAAAGGCATTGCATTACAAATATACTTTATTTTAATGAAATTTATAATAAGAAGAACTCAGATAAACTGTATATTGCCGTAGTCGTGTGTTTATTAGTCACGTTGAATCAATGAAAGCAGTTGAATCTTCTGTTTATTCAGCTGCAACGATAGGCATTTGGTGGAGCATCCATGAGGCACATTTCCCCAAATTTGCTAAATTAGCTAAGAAATACCTATGTGTTCCAACAACTAGCTCCCCATCTGAGAGGGTTTTTAGTGCCAGTGGGAACATAGTTTCATGCCACAGAGCTTCTCTTAAACCAGAGACAGTTGACAGACTTGTGCTCTTAGCTAAAAACTTTTTAATTTTTAATTTAAAAAAAAAGTTTAATTATTTCCCCTAGTTGCACTGTGTAAATTGTGAATTGCATGCACTAAAAAAGTTGACAGAATACACTTTCAGTACTTTTTTTGCACTACTTGTTGATAATTTTTGAAAAAGCAGTAAGTGATCACTTGGTCTAGATTTTTTTTAACTGCTTACATTTGCACTAAACATTTTGTATTTACTTTGTAAAAGTAGCTGTTCTACCTAAATAGTTTTTGTTGTTTTTTTAATGGGGGCAAAATAAAATCATGTTTTTTTTATTATTTAAAAGCAAATGCAAACATATCGAGATATATATTGAATATCGTGAAAATTTTGACAATATCGAGATATCATTTTTTTTATATATATCGCCCAGCCCTAACTGGGGTACAGCGGTACTTTACAGGGGACTCGTGCCCCAGTGAAAAGGATCTAGTGACGCCCCTGCGCTTTACTCTGAAACACCCAATGCATATGTTCAGCCTTTGCGATTTGATGATCACTAAGCCATAATCGTGATTCCAGGTTTATTTTGATTATTTGCTAAGCCCTAGAATCGAAACAAACCATATGAAGGAACCAATTCACAAAAACAAGTCAAACTCCTAACATACTTACTGCTGAAATCGGCTGTCAGTCACATGCATGACTATCAAAGTATCTCTGGTACTGTCCCAAAATGCTTCCCCATATCTGAAGCCAACTGATACCCAGAGCAATTAGTTACGGCTACTACTAAACCACCTTAGCAGTAATATGAGCCATCAAGAACATAAAAAGAATATAAGGATTCACTCTGTGCAAAAGTTTGTCTTTGAGATGTTTGCCTATCCCGCAGGCTGGGTGCCCATTAGGGCAGCACGATTAATCGAATGCGATTGTCATGCGCATTTTGTTAAAAAAGCCGGTTCTGTAATCAGCAGGAAATCATCATCACGTGCTTTCAGATGGAGCAGAATTTACTACACATAGCCGTAGTTCACTGACAAGTTACGCAAAAAAAAAAATCGCAGACGATTTTATTGCGCAATTCTGAAATCGAAGATATCGTTCGTCATAATGACAGCTGTTTGCATAGCTTCTCAATGAAGTAAATGCTGCTCCATCTGAAAGCACGTGATGATGATTTCCAGCTGATTACAGAACCGGCTTTTTTAACAAAATGCATATGACAATCGCATTCGATTAATCGTGCAGCCCTAATGGGCACCCAGCCTGCGGGATAGGCAAACATCTCATCTGAAAGCATATTTTTACTCCAAACTCACTTCATAACGTCAGTCGAGTGTTTGAAATAAATCCTTCTGTGAGATGATGTGGCTTACACAGAATAAGGCACGCAACATATTTCATAGTATTTAAGCAGTGATAAAGGCATTGCATTATAAATAATCTCGATTCCATTTCGATTTATCGTGCAGCCCTAGTGCCCATCACACGGCATGAGGTCCCATAGAATGCATTAACGGAGAAACTTCGTAAACACCTCTGTTGAATGCTTTGTTTGCAATTTCCTGAAATGACAAGCTCCACTAGAGGCAAGAATACAAGGGGGGGGGGGTCTGTTTAGCAGAAGTGTGCATGTAAAGCGAGTCATCGGTAAGTCATGTGCAGACCTGAGTAACAGGTTAGTCCACATTCCTCTGGGCAAGAGATCGAGAGAGAGACAGTCAACAGGAATCAACCCAGCATCTCAACACCCTTTCACATACAAAAAGAGCCCAATCTGTTCCTGATATGAAGCAGGGGTAGTAAGAAGGGTCGACTAGTGATTCAGTAATGGACTGGTCTATTATTGATTTATCTATTATTTGACATGTTTATTTAGGTTATTTTCTCTGGATTCCTGATTCACAGAGCTCACAAAAGGTACGGTCACAATTACCATTGTTCAGTGAATTTCTGGGGCTGAAATCCAGTCATAGGAATAGGAATCCATGCAATCAGGAATTTTGTGTGTGGTGAACGATTTCCGAATGAAGGTTCGGAGATTCAGTTTCACGTTGGTCATGCAGATAATTGACCAGCAGAAAGCAGCTTGGTTTGAAGTTGATCTGTATGTAAACTCTGCTTTGTAAATCACAACACCGTTAACAAAGAAAAAAAAAATTGCTGTGAATATTTCACTGAAATTTTGCTAATGTGCACTTATGAGTAAGTCAGTATGGTAAAACTGTCACAAAAGTCAAAATACGAGATTTGAGCCAAAATAGTTTTTAAAAAATGGACAGCCTTTGACAAACAACCAAAGATATATAGCAAGTAGAAATGTTATTATTTGCATTATACTATTGTTTTTCCATGCCGTCAACAGCCCAGAATTGTTTTTCAGATCTTCATTTGAATGACCACGATATCAACTCTTAAAACCCCAAGATTGTAAACAAGAACAAAACTTGGTTCTTTTAAAGGACTTATTCAAAAAGATGAGTTTGAATCAGTCTAAAACATTGGTTCTCAACTTTTTTTAGATTCAAAGCTTTTGTACGTTTTTTATCTGAGAGTGCATATAGGCATATAAGATATTTTCAGTATTTCTTCCTTAATTATGACAAAACTGCTTGTTTCAAACGTTTTATTTACAGCAAAAGGACGCAATTATTGATAGGTTGAATTAAGTAACCATGATTCATTTTGTGATTTCAGAAGTTTAAAAAAAAAAAGATAATTGAGAGGGAAAATATTTCTTGATTTTATGCTGTTTTTTTTTTTTTTTTTTTTGTTATGCTGAGGCCCCCTTGGAAGTTTATATAACACTGGTCTATAACACCGCCCTGGAAATTTTACAGCATTAGCTGAGATTAAACTCATTCTAAATTAAATGTATCCAAATTAATTAAAATCGAATCAAAATCAGAAACAAATTTAAGAATCACCGCCTTATAATCACCAGACTAGTCAACTAGCTGTTAAGACAATCCATCAACTATGAAATAATATGAAGTATGAATAGCTTCACACTAGGCTTGCCGCGATAGACGGTGCTGACGGTGATACCGTTGTTAAGCCGCAACACTGGTTACGTCACTTGCCCACCGCGGCACCGATCCCCACCGTCGTTTTTATTTTTTTATAGTAATAAAAATAATTTAGTTCAGTAAAAGAACAGACACTATTAAAAACTGAACGACAGTCGCATCACAGATCATATTTCATTTATCCAGTGAGGAGAGTGAGGAGAGCTGACTGACAAGAAGAGTGGGGTGAGACAGACAAGACAATCGCGGATGATTTAGTTTCGAAATGAAATGCAAAAGCGCCTGTTTGGCAGTATTTTGGATTTTGAAAAGCCTGTTTTGCCGTGAATCTAAGAAATGTTTTTTTCCGTTTATCTACGGTGATTTTGGAAGTTTTTTTAAACATTTGTTTCTTATTTAATTGTTTCCACAGTGTTTGCTGATTTTTACTTTATTTAAACTTTGTTTAATTTATTTATTTTATTTGCCATCAAGGTGTATGCCGTGCCTCCAAGCTTTCTTATTCGTTTTGCTAATAAACTTTCTACGTTTCTTATTTATTTGGTTATATATTATACATGTTTACTTATTTACCTATTTAAACTATGTAAGTTATTTATTATTTTATATTAGGCATTGCCTGCCCTATAGCATGGTGTATTTTTATTTGTTTTGTTAATAAAAGTTCTATGTTTTATATATAGGCTAAAGTGAGTTTGACGTTATATTTTGCTGTTGCATTCAAGCAATTGACGCCGAATTGTCGCTAATTCGAAATGAAGTGAAAATAAAATGCGCACAGTGCTTTTAAGCTATTTAAAAGCGAAGGAAAGGCAAGGAAAAGAGGGAAAATTCAAACGAACTAAAAACGAACAATTGCTTTACACCGAATTGCCGCTATTTGAAAGTGAAAGTAAAATGCGCACACCGCTTTTGCAAGCTATTTAAAAGCGAAGGAAAGCAAGGAAAAGAGGAAACGCCCCCGCCCCCACGGTGTTAGAGGTGCCTGATGTTCTGAAAAATAGTAAAAATATCAACCACAGACAAACCAAATGTGAAAGTGCTCCATCACAATAAAGTGCCAATGGGCTCATAAAATGCCAAAAGATAAGATGATCTATTTTTGTCTTGCACAAAGACGAGGTGGTTTCAGATTGTAATAAGTTTAAACAAGGAAGCAATCAGTTGTCTGGAACGTGATCGTGCAATAAGGTCAGGTTACACTTACTCTTTCAACGTCTCAAAGCCTTGCTCCTTATAAAGGAGTTCTTGCCTCATACAGGCCAAATCTCTCTTCAGCTTATTTACCTGAACAAAAGACAGCAACAGAGAGAAAGTGAGCAGGTGAATGAATGAGACAATTGCATAATTACAAGACATCTTACATTTAGCTTTAAGTGTAATCTCGCTTCTTGTCATCACATCTGAAATCCATGATGTACAGAGTGCCGCAAAGATTACACCCAATTTGTGTCTTACATAAACAAGAGAGTATTACCCGGCTTTTTGCTGTAACAATCTCCGCTTTGAGGATCTCAGGGTCATATTTACTGCTTGATGAGGACCTGGAATTTACTGTAGAAAGATAAGAGTTCAAAGGCTTTATCTTATCTGTAAAACCACTCGGCACAGCTCTGGAATTCCATAGCGATTTATAATAATGCTACAGACTGTGTCATAAATCTATATCCATTATAATAGCCTTTCATTTAAACTAAAAACAAAATTTGCTTGCAAAAGAGTGAGGTCACTGCCGGTTGGGCTGCACAAATATTTTAAAGTGAATTCAAGACTCCAACCTCATCAATTAAGCATGCAGCTCTCACCATCTTATCTTTGCAGATGATTTGGTTTCAATTATGACTGTTCTTTGATTCTTGTGACATGGGACAAAACATGTTTAATCTTCACACTTGATTTTCTCTTTATGTTATCAAAATTGTGACAAAGTTCTCAGACTATAACTGGACAGATTGTGAAAAAAATAAAAAATAAGATTAACAGATATATTGTGTTTTTTAAATAAACATTACTACTATGTCCTAGAAGGTTTAAAAATATAAACTTATAAAACATATATAAAATATAGACTACAGATATAATATAGAAAAAATGCGGGG